CCCCAAAACCCCAAAACCCCAAAACCCCATGAGACATAGATTTATCATAAAAGTTTAGTCAGACAGTAATATAAATTACTTTAAAGTCTTATACTTATGTAGTTTTAGAATTAATTATCATTGTGAAAATTAGAGAATGACTAAAATATATACTTAAAGCAGAATTTTTGAAGAAGCCTTCCCTTAAGACCTTATTTTTCGCGAACCTGATGCTAACTTTATACCATTTACGAAGGAACAGATCAAATCATTACTAGTCAACAAGTTCTAAATAAATTGCCCTTAAATAGAGATTAATAGCAAGCAAAAGTATAGGGCTATTCTGGACAGAAATATTATATATTTGTTCTTGAGAGCAGACAAAAAAATGCTTGATCCTTAATTTTGCTTAGATATCGAGTTTTCGACGCTGTTTGTCAACTATTTTGATGACGACGTTAAAAACACTGGCACCTTGCACAGTCTTACTATCAGGAAAAAAGACAGAGTCATATAATTTGTACCTTGCCATAATTCTAATTATGAGATAAGAGATAATATTATATTATAGTGGGCCAACGCTTTGTCTAAATTCACAATTAGCGAAGATATATTAAGCAGATATAAAATTATTGATAAGCTAGGATAGGGGGCAAACTCAACTGTCTACAAAGTATCAAGCAAGGTGAATCCTAAAAAATTCTTTGCACTTAAAGTTATTAATAAAATGTCTTTTGAGAATAATTGCAGAGTTGACTAACTAGTGTCTGAAATTAGAATAAATCGAAATCTATCGGATTGTCCTGGTGTTATTAAGATATTTGAGGTCTCTGAGACTAAAGTAAATATATATTTGCTGCTTGAGTTTAAATCAGGAGGATCCCTTTAAGATATTCTTCAATCTAGAGAGTGGGGATACGAAGAGAAGAAAATAAGATCAATCGCTGAACAAATCCTAAATATTTTAACTGAAATACACTAGAGATAAATAATACATAGAGATTTAAAGCCAGATAATATACTAATTGAGGGTGAAAAAAATGGGTCTCCGAAAGTGTTTATAGCTGATTTTGGATTGGCCTCAGAGTTAGGAGATTCTTCAAAAATAAAAGTAAGATGTGGTACTCCTGGGTTTGCAGCTCCAGAAATTATCTCAGGGAAATAATAAACACAAAAAGCAGACATTTTTAGCTTTGGAGCATTGCTATTCTATATGTTCACCGGATCAAATCTAATTAAGGGAAATTCAATCTAGCAAATACTTTTAAGAACTACAAGGTTAAATTCTAAAGAGAGGCTACAAAAATTATCATGCTCACCAGCAGCACTAGATTTCATATCATAGACATTGATAATCGATCCAATCAATAGACCAACTGGGGAAGACTTATTATAGCACCATTGGCTGAAAAGAATTAAAATCATTGATATAACCTAATAACAAATCGAATTCAAACCTAATGAATTAGTTGCTTTTGGCCAATTGAAAATTTCTAATAATTCTTTTGTCAATTAAAGAAAGCTGATTAATGACTGCAACAAGTCTGCCATTGATTAAAATGATAATAATCTTCATTAAGATCTATTGAGAATTAGGAGTTCCAGCAATAGACAAAATTTGAATAAGAATCTTGCTAATTCATCAAAGTGTGTAAAAAGAAATCATAGAATTGGAAACATAATTAAAGAAGAACATGAGAAAGCTCAGATAGGATTGAATAAAATCAGAGAAACATCTGCCCCAATGTCTGTAAAAAACAATCCCTATAAGCAGAACAACCATTATTTTTTAGAAAAATAAATTTGCCTCTCATTTATTGAGGATGATATCACTGAGAAACTCTAGCAAGATGATAATTGTAAAAAGTTTGAGACAAATTTTAATTCATAAGAAATGATTGAAACTATCCCTAGTGAAATTTATGATATAGAAATAACTCCTAATCTTAATCAAGGATAAATCAAAATTGGAATTTGCAAAGATAAGGAAATGGTAGATCAAAGAGAGAAATAGATTTTAATGTCCGTTCTAAATTAACCTAAGTTGTAGAGAATATTTGCTGATAATAAATATTGATAAGCTAAAATTCCATTAATCCCGAATATTAAATTGAATATAATGGTTTAAATTATAAGCTATCTACTTTTATTATTAATATTTTAGAATTTTAACGTGTTTAATTTATCCAACTTATATTTTAGCATGGGGTTTTGGGGTTTTGGGGTTTTGGGGTTTTGGGG